CCCGAACATTTGCGTTTTTTCCAGCACTCCATCAGCTGCACCAGTCGTTGTAATATGGGCAAGATTTTGTTCGTTCTTGCACCTTACATATACAATATATCTCCTAATCTTTAGCTCTTCTGATCCGTGTGTTTTATCGGAAGGGTCCATTTTCTAATGTCCGACAGAGACATCAATAATTTCCGCCGTGCGTGTGAAATTTCGTGTCCGGTCCAAAGTACACACACAGGTACCTAGGGGGCGCGACCTCCACTGAAGAAGATAACTACCTCTTTGCTTTTTTCTCGTCCTTTCAGTATTCCTACCAACATCCTCCTCACTGAGCATATCATATCTCCCCTCTATTTCCATGTGTTAGATTATAGCCATCCTAACAGGGGGCGCGATCACTCCCAAACCACGCAGGGGCTGACCCGACTGCCTCTCCTTTGAAAAGAAACAACAACAAACACAGGTAGCCAACGGTTACTTACTTATGTGAGCGTGCGTAGGATCTTTCACTTTCAATTTTACTGTTAATTCTTCGTATCACTTTCGAACTTGTGATTTTGTAAGCATTGCCAAGCACAGGATCAGTATACAAGTGACAGGTCTGTGAAGACTTGATTGTCGAGGTAACACAGATCCATGAAGGACAGGTCACAAGGTCACGAAAGGACGCTATACACGTCCATGGAGAGTGAGAGAGAAAAAGAGAGAGAAAGAGAGAAAGAGAGAGAAGATAGAGATAGATTAGAGATAGATAGATAGAATAGAGAGAGAGAGAGAGAGAGAGAGAGAGAGAGAGGAGAGAGAGAGAGAGAGAGAGAGAGAGAGAGAGAGAGAGAGAGAAGAGAGAGAAGAGAGAAAGAGAGAGAGAGAGAGAGAGAGAGAGAGAGAGAAAGAGAGAGAGGAGAAAGAGAGAGAGAGAGAGAGAGAGAGAGAGAGAGAGAGAGAGAGAGAGAGAGAGAGAGAGAGAGAGAGAGAGAAGAGAGAGAGAGGAGAGAGAGAGAGAGAGAGAGAGAGAGAGAGAGAAGAGAGAGAGAGAGAGAGAGAGAGAGAGAGAGAGAGAGAGAGAGAGAGAGAGAGAGAGAGAGAGAGAGAGAGAGAGAGAGAGAGAGAGAGAAGAGAGAGGAGAGAGAGTGAAGAGAGAAGAGAGAGAGAGAGAAGAGAGAGAGAGAGAGAGAGAGAGAAAGAGAGAGAGAAGAGAGAGAGAGAAAGAGAAAGAGAGAGAGAGAGAGAGAGAGAGAGCAGAGAGAAGAGAGAGAGAGAGAGAGAGAGAGAGAGAGAGAGAGAGAGAGAGAGAGAGAGAGAGAAGAGAGAGAGAGAGAGAAAGAGGAGAGAGCAAGAAAGAGATAAGAGACAAGACAGAGATAAATTAAGAGACTGACCCACTATCGAAACTGAACCCCAAGACAAATTGAACATCACGAGCCACAAAGCAACATCCAAAAAGAGCAATCTATCAAAGAGGAATAAGAAAAGAAATAAAAATAGAAAAAAAAATATAGGCTTAAGTCCCACAATCCTCCCGTCATTTCCAAAACATGCCCGATCCCGTTCGCGTAAGAGAATCCAATCCAAGACGCGGATTCACGGATTCATCTTCACTTTCACTGCCAGGCCTTGATCGTGAGGAGCGGGAGAGGGGGGAGGGGGAGGCAGTGAGTGAATGGGGGAGGGGAGGAGGGAAGAGGGGGTAAGGGAGGGAGGGGAGGAGGCAAGGGGAGTGAGAGAGGGAGGCAAGGAAGGGAAGGGGAGGGATTTGAGGGGGAGGTGAGGGGAGGCGAGGAGGGGAGAGGGAGGTAAGGAGAGGCGAAGGGGGGGGGAGGTAAGGAGGAGAGAGGGAAGCAAGGGGGACGAAGGGAGGGTAGGAGGGAGGAGGGAGGGGTGGAGGCAGGAGTAAAATTATTGCGTCCAAAGTATTTTTCCTGAGGGAGGGGTGGACGGGAGAGAAGTAAAGATGGGGGTGGAGGGTGTGGATGGGTGGGGTGGGGTGGGGTAAAAGGAGATTTAGGAAGGAACAACAACAAAAAAAGGTCGAGGGGAGGTCAGGATAAGAATCTGCCGTATTGTATTTATTTATTCTTTTTTGTTTGATTTCTTTCTCTCATTTTAGAGCTTCTTATGTCTGTTGTCTGTCTCTGTCTTTATGTACGTATGGTGTCTCTGTCTCTATCTTTTCCTGTCTATTTTTTTTTCCTCTCTTCTCTTTATTTCCTTTCTCTCGCTTTTCTCTTTATTCTCTCCTCTCTTTCTCTTTTTTTTCTCTCTTTCTCTCTTTCTTTTCAAACTCTTCCACCTTCCTCTTCTCTCTCTCTCTTTCTCTTTATCTCCCCCCTCCCTCTCTCACACTCTCTGTTCTTTCTTTCCCTCCTCCCTCCCTCCACCCCCCCTCCTCCTCTCTCTCTCTTCTCCCTCCTCCCCATCCCCTTCTCTCTCTCTCTCCTCCCCTCCCCTCTCCCCTCCTCTCTCTCTTTCTCTCCCTCCATCCCTCTCTCGCTCACTCGCTCTCTCCTCCCTCCCCTCCTCCCTCCCACCTCTCTCTCTCTTTCTCTTCCTCCTCCCCCTCGCCTCTCTCTCCTCCCCCCCCCCATCTCTCTCTCTTGTTTATTTATCCCTTTCTCTCTATACCTCTATCCTTCCTCCCTTTTCCTCAGAGTCCTAGGCTCAGCGAAGACCTCACAGAAATTCACATTTATTCCCAAATCTCTTGAATGAAATAGCATTATGCCTAAACAGGTTATGATAATCCTTTTGATTCTTGGCAGATAAAAGCATGTTTTTTTTTTTTCTCTTTCTTATGAAGAGACAGCGATCTTAGGAACTCGATGGATCTTTAACTTAAACGTTTCAATGTCTTTTTTTTTCTTTTTTTTTTTTTTTTTTTTTTTTTGATTGGTCTAAACGTCTGTATTAGGCTGTGGGTTCTGTTCTGTGTTATTTGTTTGTTCGGCTCTCTCTGTGTTTCTGTCTGTTTCTTTTTCTGTCTGTCTGTCTGTTTCTTTTTCTGTCTGTCTGTCTGTTTCTTTTTCTGTCTGTCTGTCTGTTCTCTCTCTTATCTGTCTGTCTGTCCTGTCTGTCTGTCTGTCTGTCTGTCTCTCTGTCTGTCTCTCTCATCTCTCATCTCTCTCTCTTTCTCTTCTCTCTCTTCTCTCTCTTTCTTTTTCTCTCTCTCTCTTGTCTCTCTGTCTCTCCCCCCCCTCTCTCTGATGATGAAATTGACTATAACAATAATAATAACAGTTATATTGATAATGATAATACTTATAACAACAACAAAGCAATATAACAATAAGGATAATAACGATAACGATATCAATAGTAGCAATGATAATGATAATAAGGATAATGATATGATAATAACAATTATAACAAAGAAAATGATAACATTGGTAATAATGAAAGGGACAGTAATAATGATGAAAATGGTAGCAACAATGATATTAAAAATAATGATACTACTGCTAATAACAGTAATTGTTACAAAAACAATGATATCAGCAATAGTTAGAATATTAATTTCACTAATAATAACAATGACAATGATGGTAATGATGATCATTATAATAGTAATAATAATGATAATGACAATGATAATGATGAATAATGACAATGAAAATAATAATAATGGTTATAATAATGATAATGATAATAAAACAATAATAATGATAATCGTAGTGATAATGATAATGTTAAGTAATTGAAAATAATAAGAATAATGATAAGGAAATAAAATAATGAATATATGAATAC